AAGGAGCAGACAGGACAGAAGCCAGCCTCTAGGACCAGCACACAGCCAGAGGGAAGCCAGCCCTTGCCCCTCCTAGGGCCCTAGGCCTGTTTGACTCATTTCTTCCCCCAGCTCCTTTCCAAGCAGCTTTCTGTCACCTCCACAGTGGCTGGGCAACTCCCTGGCTGAGGCCAGCACCAGCTGCAGGAACCTCAGACTTCTGGCTAAGCAGACAGGGGCAGGGGAAGCAGGGGGTCCGGGGTGGCCTGCAAAGGCCAGAGTCGGGTACCTAGAGACCTCAGTGAAACCCTTCCCACCAAGAACAACCTCACCCACTGCCACTCACCGAACACCTCCTGCTCACCAGGCACGTGACCTCATTTAATCCTCACATTTAATCTCTGTAAAGGAGGGCCTAGTATCACCCTCACAGCCATTCATCCAGGAGGCGACAGCTGGGATGTAAAAACCAGGTGTGTCTGGGTTGTGATTTTGACATGGGTCTCTAAGTCCCTTATCTCAACTCCTGTATCTCAGCCTGGAAGCAATGGGGTGTGAGGGAAGGCTTCCTAGAGGAGGTGACACTTGCACCGAATCTCCTAAGATGATAAAATGAATCTAGCCAGTGAGGGAGCAGGGTGTCCGGCAGACGAAATGGCACACACAAAGGCCTCGAAGTGAGAAGCAGCAGGAAGGTGACAGTGTGGCAGAAGCTAGTTTGGTGTCACAGGCTCACGGGAAGAGGTGGGAAGAGGTTGCAGGGAAGTGGGTAACAGGAGCAGGTCACAGAGGGCCAAATACAGAGGAGTCCACACTGACTTTATCCTCTGGATAGTTGGGAGCCCCAGGAGGACTCTGGATGGTGGAGTTGCCTGGAATGAAGACGGGGAGGTTCAGAAAGGAGCTGCACTGTCATCAGATGGCTCCATCCATGAAGGAGATGAGGCTGGGTCCAGTGTCAGGAGCACATGTCCAGGACACACACTGAGGGCCAGATGCGGGCTACGGCACAGGCCGGGGGCTGTGGCCGAGCTTTAATTATTTACAAGGCTGTTTCCCAGCAAGCCTCAGCACTCCTGCAGCCTGGCCTTGCCCAGCTAATGAACTCTCAGCCATGGGAGACCTCCCTGTGGCCACTCTTTATTAAACCTGGGATGGAGGGGTGATGGGCGCTGGGATAACAAAAGAGTCCAAAGAAGCCTGAACAAAGTGAGGTCAGGGAGCACAAAACTGATCTATCTGTCCACCCAGCCTTTCCACGAGAAGCACAGAACTTCCTAGAGGAGGAAGCAAGGTGGAGTAGCCTTAAGATGTCATCTCAAGACAGGGAAATGAAGGCCTGGGAAGGACCTACCTAAGGTCACCAGCCAGTACTTGAGACAGTACAGGTTCCATAGCTGGTCACCCGCATTCACACCCCAGCAGTTCTACACCCTTGGGCCAGTTACATAAGCCGTCTGTGCCTTGATGAGATGGGACTAATTCAGGTACTTCATAGTGTTGCCCCACTATTGTCCACCATCGTGCGTGGACAATCTCAGCACGATGCTTGGTCCACAGCAAGTGCTTAGTCAGTGTCATCGGCGCTATGGTTACTGTTGTGACTCTGGGAGTAAAGGCCGGGCCAGAGATGAGAATCTCTGCCTCTGCCCCCAGACACTAGAGAGCAACAGGAAACTGAGGCCAAGGGGCCAGCTGGCCTACGTGACCCAGGTCCGCAGCCAGGAATCCCACCCGACTTCTCCTGGCTGGGCTTCCTTGGGCCTGGCTCTCTGGCTTCCAGCTCCTTCCTCCACTTTGAAGGTTCTTTGAGCTGGGAACTAAAGCCCCAGGAGCTTTTCCCTCTTCCATCCTGCAAGTTCCTGCCGTGACTCCAAAGAGCCAAGTCCCAGTCACTGTGGATGAGGCTCAGGACTTCGAAGACCTCAGTTTGAATTCCAGCTCCAACCCTGAGGAGCTCTGTGACTTTGGGGGAGTCACTTCACCTCTCCAAGTCTATGTCCTGTACAATATAGGAACCATACCACCCGTTTTTAAATGGTAAACTCTGGGGGAATGCTATTAGTTACCATCTTTTAAGGCCTAGTTCAGCTGTCTCCTCCTGCAGGAAGCCTTCCTTGGCCTCCTTAAAAGTCCCCTCCTTCCAGCCTCTTGGCATTCAGGGGCTGCATTCTAGCCCCTTTGGGAATTTGGACTCATTTTGCCTCACGCAGACTCTATCTACAAATTCACCCCCCATTTTGCAGGCTCAGAGATGTACAAAGGTGGGCTGCTCAGGCCCTCTTGCAGGGTGGTGTGCCAAAGAGGTGGTTAGGGGTAAGGCACGGACACTGCTCAGAGAGGAATAGCTTTTGTTATCCCAGCACCCAGCACCCCTCCATCCCAGGTTTAATAACGAGTTCCTCAGGGAGGAGCCGACAGCTCTCTCTCCTGTGGGGAGAACAGTTCAAAGAAATTCAGTCTGGGCAGGTGGCCTAGAATGCGAGAAACCCTCAGATGGGGAAGAAAGGGCTGAGGAAAGAACATTTTCCAGCACCTGGCCCCAACACGGCCACGGAAGCCCCACTCCATTTCTTCAGTTTCTCTTTGTGGCTACCAGGAGTCCGTTTCTAAAGGCCGTGGAGGTGGGAACACTCACCCATCTGGTCCCTTCTTGCCAGCCCTGTGTGTCTATGTGCACAGCCAGCATTGGAGGGACAGCTGCCCCTGTTTGGCAGATGAGGAAACAAGCTCAGACAAGCCATGCGTGATTGCTACTTGGTACTATCAGCAGCGCCACCACCCTTTCCACTCCAAGCTTGATGTCATTCACTTTTGTTTAATAACTCCCTGTCTGTGACTCTACCCCATGCATCTCAGAGCCATGCAGGAGCCCAGCTTGGCCACTGGAGCGCTCTTGGCTCACCTGGGCATCACTCAGCACCCAGCTACTTCACTCCTCCATCTTGTCCAAAGCCTCACATGGAGCTGAAATGCACCAGGCCTAACATTTACAGTCCGTCTTTCCAGCTCCTAGATCACACTCCTGGTGCTTTCCGCACCACATTCCCCACCGTGGCAGACAGTGCCCTGAACTAGAGGCAGGCAGAGATCCTGACCAAGTTCTGTCATCCTGAGCTGTGTGACCTTTCCTAAGTCACTCAACTTCTCTGAGGCGGTATCCTTATCTAGAAAGTAGAATGACAAGAGAATTGCTGCTCTCTGCAGCCATCCTCACAAGGACAGTTGTTATAAAGAGCCAGGGAGGTAAGGCATAACCAGCCCAGAAACACAGTTTCTATTCCTTGTCTCGTCCTCACTACTCCCACTCTAAGGAGACCACAGAACAACTCCCAGTGAGGAAATTCACAGCAATATTTTAGCAAGGCACAGCCATTTTCATAACCTCAGCAGCACTGGGAAATGGTGCAGGGTCACAATTAGACTAGGAACTCTGGAGTCAGATGCTTAAGTTCAGGTTCCTACTTAACAACTCCATAGCTGCTAAGCAGGTAACTTAACGGTTCAGTGCCTCAGGTTTTTTGTTTTGTTTTGTTTTTTAATCTCTAAAATAGGACTATTGTGAAGATTAAAGGAGTTTATACAAGATAAGTACTTACTGGAGTGCTTGGCACAGTTAATGGTCAGCACACATTAGTCTCATTACTTCCAATTTCACTTCTGGAACTGGTCCTCAAAACAGTCCCATGAAGTTGCTGGGGCAGGAATTATGTGAACCCAAGTGGTCAGGTGAGGAAACTGAGGCAGGAGATATAGACTCAGGCAGTCTAGTTCTGCCATGCACAAGTCTCAAAGCCAGCTTTGGCTTAGGTCTGAAAGTGAACGGGAGGGAGACTGACAAATACAGTAAAAAACCAAAAGGATTCAACAGAGAGGGTGCCTGTCCACCTGTCCCGCTGCCCTTCCTGTGCGGCGTGGGGCTGTGGGCCTGTCCACCTGTTGCCCTCCTCCCTCAGACCCTGTCAGTGCTCCCTGGCTGCCAGGGCTGGCCTGTCTTGGAGGGCGCCCCAGCGCCTGGCACACAGCAGATGCTCGCGAATGATGAATGAATGACTGCCTGGGTCTATGTCTCTAGGAGAGCCCTGTTTTTCTGTTCCTGGAACTACATTTCTGCCACCGTGGTAACTGCCTGCTAATTAGCTCCTGGTCCCACATACACTCTGAAACCCCGTGAACTCTGAGAAGAAACTTCAAAATCAGTCGCGCACGCCCAGCAAAGGCAGCCGGCAGCCGTTTCACGAGTGGCCTCGGGCTTCTCGGGCCCCTTCCGGGAAAAAACTCTCCCTCCTGGTACCCTCCTTCCTGGTGTGCCACATGACTCAGAGCCAGGCAGGGCTAGCAGGAAAGCACGGTCTGCTAACCAGGGTGGCTCAAAAAGGTCTTCACTGTGACTCGGCAGAAAAGCAGCGCCCGAGCCCCGCCTGCACCTACCACCCTGATGATGTGCACGGGGGTGTGGCCGGGGCGGGGCCAGGGCAGGGCCCCCGCGCCCAGGGAACCCGAATACCACACATCCGTCTGCTCCGCGATTGGCCGCTCCGGCCACGGGGGCCTATGGGGTGGTCCTCGCCCAGCCAATCAGGGGCCCTGGGGAGCCCATTCATTCACAAAAACTGAGCAGGAATAGGAGCTCAGTGCGGCCCAGAGCTGCGTGGAACTTTGAAACACGCGCGCGTCCCGCGGGGCCGAGGCAGGAGTCCGAGAGGGCAGTGTTTCGGGAATCCAGACTTTGCAGGGACTGCCACGTCCCCGCCCACAGCTCCGGTCTAGCCTCCCCAGCTTGGTGCGCCCTCCTCCCCAGGCCCCACCAGGACACGCCAGCTTTCCTGCCCTCTCCGGGTCGCTAAGAGCCACCTGGCCCCAAGGGAGGCGGCGCCCAGGCGGTTTCCCGGTCGCAGGCTCCAGCGGCAAGGCCCGCGCAGGTGGCAGCGCCGCGGCTGCAGCCAAGTGCGCGCCAAGCATGGTTTCCCCCACCGTTCCTCTTCTCTCCCCGGGTCTGAGCTACCCGGCCCGCCACTCACGGCAGTCGTCCTCGTCGCTGTGGTCTAAGCAGTCATCGTCCTCGTCGCATCTCCACACAGAGGGGATGCAGCGCTCGTTCCGGCACTGGAATTGATCCTTTTCGCACTCCTTGGCCGGTCCTGCGGGGGGAGGGAGCGTGAGCTGGATCAGCGGGCTCGGCCCCGCTCCCCACCATGCGGCCTGGGCCACCCGGAAGGGCCCGCTGGGGAGGAGGAAAAGGGGTGATTATGGAGACCCCGGGGCTTCGGGCACACTCCTTCTAAAGGGGGTACGATGGCAGGGGTTCCGTGGATGTCGGGCCTTTCGGTGGCACGGCGAGACCAGGCACCTACTTACAGTGTCACACGACCTGGGTGTACCCTCCATTCAGACCCACTCACCCGCACACGCGACCCATAGTTAGAGATCCGCGCAGACACAGCCCATAGGGAGTCCCCGCACTCGCGCGCCACGCGCATTGGGAGCCGCGGGCACATCACCCTGGCAGGCAGCCCCCTCTCTCCGACGCGCGCAGGGGTCTGCGGAAACGCATTGTCAAGCGGAGAAGCCGCCTGGCTCCGCTCATTACCGCCGCGGAGCGCGCGTGTCAAATAAACCCCAACGGCGAGAATCACACAGCTCATCCGGAACCATGAATGGCCTCCCCTTCGGCAAAGTTCCCCGCTGGCCAAGCCCCCCTGCACCCCTCCCCCAAGAGCCGCTGCCCAGAGGGCAGAGCCCTCAACCCGGAGGCCCGCGGGGGCGGGGGGCAGAGGCCAAATTCAGGAATAGCCGCGTCGCGGGGAGCTTGTCCATCCCGGCGCCCCCGATAGCCCCCTGGTTCGGGAAGCCCCCCCACTCTGACCCTCCCCCGGCCTCTAGGCCGCGCTTTGTTGGTGGCTAGGGCGGCGCAGAGCCGAGGCAGGAACCG